CTAAGTACGGGTGTCAAACGAGTCAATAGTTCATGAGCTGGCTCAATTCAGTTTGGATTTTAACAAGCGTGAGTTATGTTTTTTAGACTCATTTAATAAATGAGTTAAGTTATCTAGCTTAAATTATTTGGCGCGTTATACGAGTCAGCTCAGATGAGTCGTGAGCTAGCTCACGAACATATATTTTTTTAATAATTTAAAATAATATATTAAGATGTTGTAAATATATTTTAGATTTACCAAATAAATATATATTTTTCTCTTTTAACTAAAACAAAAAATGATGGGTTTTGATTTAGAATCCAATAACAATATTATTTGGATTCTTTTTAATATTTAATACTAGAGATATCCACGCGTTGCGTGGATTTAAAAATTAATATTGTAAAATATACAACAATTCAAGCTTATTGATTATTTGTGTATTTATATAGGTTAGAAGACTAAATATTTGGAGCAAAATGTTGGACATATACAATGTTATATGTGAATAGAAGTATACAGTTCATTAATAAAAATCACATCATATGCAGATGGACGATATATTCTTCTACACAAATTCTCAACTTGTATGTCTTTATCAATATTCACCGTAATTCCCTAAAGAAAATGATTGGTCGTCTTTTTCCTTGCATCAAATACGTCTGTAAAAGAAATCTAGTGATTAGACAAGACATATGCATCATCTCAACATTGTTAGAATGCATCTTTGTGTTTTATTTCTTTAGAACCTTAAATTGTACGGAGAGAATAATTGATGTTTGATTGTACTTTTTTCTTGACATTTGGCTTTCTAATTTATTTATTGAAGAGAAAAAAAAATAAAGAGAATTTTTAAGAAATTATATTTTTCAATAATACCACTTTTTCAAAATCATTTACTCAATATATCATACATGTTTGGGTTAACTATGTTGTATTATAGTTTAGTTTTGAGGGTTTAAGGTTTGTTTGGGGTCAAAAACTAATTTAGAGTTTATAATTTTAAGATTTAGGATTTAAAAATCTTTAATTAGTGGCAATTTTGCAAATGGACAACCTATATTAGCATTTTTAAAAATCTTTAATTAGTGGCATTTTTGCAATTATCCAAAAATTAAATGGTTTTTAATAACTTTAGCAATTAGTTTTAACACTTTAATAGCTAATTCTTATGTAAATTAATTTCAAAAAATTACATTTAAGTGTCTTG